AGGTATTTAAATATACCTTTCTGAAGAAACCAGAGGCCTTCCTCCTGGGCATGGTCGGCCAATTGGTGCCAAAGAAGGATAGAACATTTTTTTATGTATGCTACAACAGCAGCAAGAATACTCATCGCGAAGTATTGGAAGACACAAGATTTACCCACCCGGGAAGAATGGCAGATGAAGTTGATGGACTACATGGAATTGGCGGAAATGACTGGCAGAATCCGAGACCAGGGAGAAGAGTCGGTGGAAGAAGATTGGAAAAAGTTTAAAGACTACTTACAGAAATATTGTAAAATTAATGAATGTTAGAAAAATGTTGGAATGAAGTTATATGGCTTCAGTAGAAATGTTATAAGGAATTAAGTATAAATAGATTAATAGAGAATTAAAGGGAAAAATAAGGTTAAAATGTGTTAAGATAATTATAGGATGGAAAGCAGAGGAAGATGGAAAGGAATTGCTGAAACAACTAAATAGAAGTGGAATACAAAAAGGGAGGTGTGAGGAGGTCATGGAAATAAGTGAATGAAAGATTGAAATTATTTGATGTGTTTTAAATTGTTTTTGTTTTGTTTTCTTAGTTTAAATTGTTTTTGTTTTGTTTTCTTAGTTTAAATTGTTTTTGTTAGTTTAGTGTTAGGTATTGTTTTTGTATTATATTGTATTGTTCATTTTCTTTTTCTATGTATGTTCAAATTGTTGGAAAGTAATAAATATTATTTTAAAAAAAATAAAAAATAAAAACAGATTGTCCTATCTGCTACTATGATGGGATCACTGAATTTGGAACTCACATGGTACATATACAATTTATTCACAGGAAAACACTAAACGTTCAATACAAACGAGTATTGTTCACCCTAACGCAAATGCACTGATCAAACACACTCATATTAGTGTTATTGTTGAAATCACAGTTAAGGAAATCACAAATATTAGCTTCATTCCAAAAAATTCCACACATGTTCAGACACATGGCAAAATTCAATATGAATGCTTTTAAGTATATGGTCCTACATAGGAAGAAGCAAGGAAACGAGGGCTGCATAATTTATTGGTTCAGCAAATTAAAACCCCGTAAGGGATAACATATTCTGCCAGCCCAGGGATGGGGCAGAAATTGCCAAAAGCAAATCCTTGTGAGGAATTTTTCTTCCTCTACATTCTGGACAAAAAACCCCTATTCCTGGATGTTCTTTGCCACAGCAGGGGGACAGCTGTTGAATGTTGTACATAGGAAGGAGCCACTGGTAAAACAAATTTTATAAAAACATTTTAGCAGATCCTAAACTGGATTTATGAATGAAATCACAACAAAATGCATCCTGATCAATAACTCCAGATAATGTATCAATGGTATGTAAGACTTCTAGGATTGATCTGAGCATATTGCTTCCGAATGAGATGCTGTAGCATGTCTTACAAATGTTTCCAAGAAGGCACTAAATGCATTAAGGAAGCACTATACTTTAATATAGATTGATCTGATAGCAAATTACAGGTACAGTAAAGTCCTCTGAACCTCACTTTCAGATGTTCCATTTTTTTATTCCGGGAATCATTTTACAAAGGTATGAAAGAAAGCTGCCTATCGGCACTGGAATCTAGTCACCATTTGTACCAGAATGAACACAAATCAATAGCTTCCTTGTGTGCTTTGACTAATCAAGATGGATTAAAGCATGGTGACAGTCTGTCTAGGCAATACAACATGAACGGAATGTCTGTCATTAATTGGTGGCAGGCTGCATTTCACAGCATTTTCCTTTGCAGGGTCAAACAAGTACATTCGGCTCTGGATAGGGGCGCAATTATGTCTGCCTAATTTGCCGCGGAGCTAGGAAGCAGATAGTTCCAGCCTTTTCCTCCCAATCTCCCAAATGTTCTTGGTCCCTACCCACTTGGTACTCATGCATCTCTCGCAGCTTAGTTCCTGGTGTCAGGAACTGAGGCCTGGCCACATCAGAGATTGCAGTGGTGGTACTAAATTCTATGGCTAGGGGAATCAATGTCTTTCCTTCACCATTGAAAGTTGGTTTAAAATGTGAACACTTGAAAGGTTTAAAACACTTGACATCTTTTTGGAGAGATTTATTTAGCTACAATAACAACATCAATATCTGCCTAGTGTTTTTAATTATCCTGTGAATCTTCTCAGTAGTACTCTTTGGAAATCAAGCCATCTCGTTGTTCATAATGTTTAACAGTTCATTAAAAAGCCTGTCTTTTTCTTCTTCTATTTAAGTGAATACCACTTTTCAACCATATAGTCAAGGCAGCATAAATATGACTGCCATCAATTTAGAAAGGTCTTTTCATATTATTTATTTCCATTTTAAAATGGTATGTCAATTTTGCCCAAATAAACATGCTCAAAGCGCCTCACAACAGAGCAACAAAAATGCAAATCAGTACATCATTACAGTAACATTCAGGTATAGGTAAATCAATTCAAAACACAACAACAATCCGACGAATGACTCACTTTGATAACAGGAGCATTATAACACATAAAATCTTGAAATATAATCGTATAACAATCTATCCATCTAATACTATAATCATTCTAATGTAATCACATGTCAACAACATATCCAACACCCACAGCATGACAGTATTATACCACACAAACTAACCAATCATTATGCAGGCTATTCCCCCCCGCCCCCAGCACCCACAGTTCCTAGCAGCTTGATAATATATTATAGAATGCAGGGCAATTAATAAATCTATACTGTGACATACTTAAGAATTCACAGAGGCTGAAAATTAAATTGCACACATTTCATTTTAATATCTACTTGCTTAGTGTTGTTGTTTTCAAAGGGCATCTAGGACAAATTATTGGAGGACTGGCCTATCAACAGATACCAGTTATGACAGTTAAATAGAGTTTAGGAAGTATAACCCTGAATACCAGATGCTATGCACATACAGTGGTGTTCATGTTTTAGTTGGGTGGTATAAGATCTGTCCTGTATGCTATTGCAGGATGAGCATTTCTAGTTAATTTTAGTTATTTTAATTTGGTTTTCTTGGGTTTGTTTTTTTAAGTAAGTTGCTTTGAGAGAAGAAAATTGTAGCAAGTGACTAATTGCTGTTGCTGTTGTTGCTGCTGCTGCTGCTGCTACTGCAGAAAGAAACAGCAACAACAAAGTGCTGAGGAAACAGCAAGAAAGGGGGATTAGATGTTGCACAGAGTTGATAACAGCCATGAATAGGTAAAGGGACCCCTGACCGTTAGATCCGGTCGCAGACGACTCTGGGGTTGCAGCGCTCATCTCGCTTTACTGGCCGAGGGAGCTGGAGTACAGCTTCTGGGTCATGTGGCCAGCATGACTAAGCCACTTCCGGTGAACCAGAGCAACGCACGGAGACACCATTTACCTTCCTGCCGGAGCGGTACCTATTTATCTACTTGAACTTTGACGTGCTTTCGAACTGCTAGGTTGGCAGGAGCTGGGACCGAGCAATGGGAGCTTACCCCGTCGCGGGGATTCGAACCACCGACCTTCTGATCGGCAAGCCCTAGGCTCTGTGGTTTAGACCACAGCGCCACCCGTGTTCCTTCAACAGCCATGAATAGAGACAGAATTCTTCTGGTGTTTTCACTCACCTTGAAAAACCAACTTTCACTTTGTCAATGTTCGATGAACAAAATTTGCCACTCTAGTTCATATCATGACGCTTCTAAGCAGAAATGCCACAGCTGCACCTTCCTGTTTCTTTCCAGTTCCATGGCTGGCAAGTCAAGTGCAATTTTTGCACACACTCCTGCCGTGCTGTGACTCAAGCAACTTATCCTATTCTCTAGGTCAGGTAACACTGCTGGCAGATTTTTCTTATAGTTTCTGTCATCCACTGCCAAAAAAGTGGAAAAAGGAGTGGGGTGGAAGACACCTGCAGCTAACCTGCCTAGGGCTGCAACCTTCAAATCACTCTTTCTAGAGCAGTTTCATAATATTCTTGCTGACTGTAATGAATTGCCACAGAGTTGGTGTATTAAATATCTCAGCCTCAGGTATTTTAACCCCCTTGAACTCAGCAGGACTCAACCAGTTTCAGTCCACCTATTCTGATAAAAGGAACTTATGGATCAGGCAATTAATCCTCAAGTCACTTAAGGAGGCGTATCTGCAATGTATTCACATTTAGTTTTGCTCAAGTGTGACATTGTAATTCTTTTGGGAAATGCACAAGAAAGACTCCTGAGGGGCTAGGTTGAAGCTGCGGCTGCTGCTTCTATACCTCCCTTCATCCAAGGATCACAGAGTGGTTTACAATATAAATGTTTCATTGTAAATGGCATTGCAAGCAATGACCTCTCATTGAAAACTCTTTGAAATACTAAAATAGTGAGTGGGGGAGGGATCTCAGCAAATTTACACGGTGCAAAGTTGCAATCTTTTGATTTATATGCAGTTTATCACAGGCTGCACTACCAGTGTCAGGTAGCCCAAGCAGTAAAATTAGATGTGTCTGATGCCTGCAATCAGAATTAACCTCAGAGTTGCTACCTGATCCCCTAAATCACGTGTCTGAACATAATAAAGAATTATGCTTGGCATCTAGATTGCAACTTGAGAGCGTTCACTCTGCATATCTCACCTTATTAATCCATATGGCAACCCTGTAAGGTAGGGTGGCATTACTGACCCTATATTGCTGAGACACAGTGGCTTGCACTAAAATATTGGTGATTTTTTCATGAGGATCTTAAAAAAAGAAGAACTGCAAACTGAGACGCAAATGTGGAGAACTGAATTAAGACTGGGAAAGTTGGAAACTGAGAGAAACCGATGGACACATTCACCCATCCCTAATTCTGAGAGGTTATTTGTAGACATCACTACATCAAATACCACTTCAGGACTCAAAGCACAGTTGTGAGACCAAAGTTACATGAATAAGAATGACTGCATAGAACAATGATCAGAAAATCACAGAGTTGGAAGGGGCCACAAGCGTAACCTAGTCCAACCCCCTGCAATGCAAGAATCTTTTGCCCAATGTGGGGCTCAAAGCCACAACCTGGAGATTAAGAGTCTCATGTTCTACTGACTGAGCCATCCCTTGAGATCCTCCTACACCAGGAAACTTCTGGCACTGACCTGGTGACATTCTGTGTCAGGTGTAGTCAACGTGGTGCTCTCCAAGAGTTGTTGGGACTACAACTCCCATCACCTTCTACCATTAGACAGGCTGGCTGGGGATGAGGGAAGTTGTAGTCCAAAACACCAGGAGGAGATAACACTGACTATCATTGTCCTATGTGATCCTCCTGAAAACAAGAAACAAGAATTATTTCATTTTAGAAGCAGCACCATCCCCTACCTTGGTATGGCAGTGTGGCGGGTGCAGTGAGGACTTCAAAAGTATGTTTCATGCATTTGTGGTATGAAACATTTCTTCACAACATACACATCATTCCCAATCCCTGAACAGCCCTTCAGTGAACCTTGGGCTCAGTTGGTTTCATAATGGAGATTAGCTTTCCTAGTACAATGGGGGTGTGTGACTGTAGTTTAGTATGCTTTCGTAACAATACCCTATGACTAAAAGTGACATTTTACACTGAATGCATTAAGACACAGATCTGTCTGCTTGGGGAATATATCCATTGCTCCATTATAAACCATCGATAGCTTTATCTTGATTTATTCAGGCAGTATAAAGGGAGATGCAAAGGGCATGTAAATGTTACACTTACACTGAAAGGTGTCCACTAGTTTTATATTGTGCTTTTTGAGATGAAAAGGGGAGAGGAAGATCAATGCACAGAGAAGGCACAGGGAAGAAAGAAGATGTAGAGCTTGCATAGAGAATTCCGATGTGAATATATTTTCTGCCTCCGTGGATCCCATAGGAGATGAGGGGACAAGTATGTAAGCCCCGATTCAACACAAATACTAGATGAAGCTTTCTACACACACACACACACACACACACACACACACACACACAAACATTCAGAAAGGATGGCAGTACAGAGCCAAGGTCCAAAGCCTCATCAAAAGAGGCATTCTATGGTTGATTGGAACATCTGAGGAGTGGCAGGGAGAGGCCTGCAAATAACATTTGGTTCTTTTTCTTGAATCCGCTGTCAGGAGCAAGAAACCAGGAAAGGCAGCATCAGCACTGTGGGTATGGAAGCCTTGTCCCATGAGAGTATTACATCTAGCTACTTCAGCAGTCATTCCCAGGCTGCAATCATCAACATCACTGGTGTCTAAGGGAGTAGAGGATTGAGATTGGATCTGTAGGACTTCCACATCATCCAGCATCTTACAGATTCAAATAAGGGCAATTTGACCTCCCTCTCCCAATTCTCATGCCAAATATTTAGCATAAGGATGTAAGAGGGGATCAGATCAAAGGTTCATCTAGTCAAATATACACATAAACCTTTTATTGCAGCCCAAACAAGGGTGGGAGGGAGGATAAATCTTTTCAGAAGGCACTTTAATAATTACTCTCTACTATGACACTTCAATAGACACTATAATAACTATCCTCCATTGTGAGAGTGACAACATGAGAAATCCATTTTGGACTTTTCTTTTCTTTTTTTGAACCACTTCCCCAATCCAGGAAGAGGGCCGCTATTAAATGATGCAGACCGCCACTCTGCAGAGTACATAACAGGAATACCAAATCTTGAATGTTACAAATGTAGCATATATCAAAGATAATTTGCTACCAAGCATTCATATGACAGAAAACATCTATATTATATTCAGCCTTTCCAGAAAACACGACAAATTATATATGCAGCGCAAGTATGAGAAATAAAAAAGTGACATACACGATACAAATATGTATCTTGTACATCACATTTTTAATTTAACATACTTGTGTTTCATATATAATTTGCAGTGTTTCCTGTGGAGGCTGAATCCAATATAGATGTCTTCTGTGATATGAATGGTTGGTAGCAAATTATATACCAAACATTATGTAGGAGAAATGATGACCAGATTCTATTTCATTGTTTTCTCTCCCCCCCCCGCCCACTGTTGTAGAGCCTGCGCCATGATTCTGCTTGCCCTATATATATAAAAAAGGCCCATTATCCATTAATAAGATGAAGAAATACAGCAGGTACATTTCCAGTTATTATTTTGAGTTAAATATTTATAAAGCTGAACTCCACAATCCTCGACGAGAAGCAGATGTAAATCACCAGCCATGTTTCAGAAAGATCTCTCTAAAGTGAATTTTTAAAAGGAAAGGGGCATGTGAAAGCTTCACAAACAATGTTGTTCTTAAAGGCAACAATGATATTGTTGGGGGGGGGGATTCAAATGTAAGGGGTTGCAGCACGAAAGGATGAAACATGAGAGGATATAGGAGGAGATATTTCACCACTTGGTAGAAGGGTTTAAGCACAGCTGAAGACAATATTGCCAGCAGGTACACAGAGCTATGCAGCTTAGCAGGTTTAATTGCCAATTGGCTGACAACCAGACTGAAAGAGGAGGTGACCACCACACAACATGGTACCCAAAGGATGTGGTAGAATGAGGGCTCACATGAGGGTCTCTCCATATGTGACCAAAGTGGTGCTACAGGTGCTGGCATGTAGCCTCTGGAAGATTGCCCATGACGGTTTCTTGGGCTGAAGAATTGTTTTCAATCCCTACTTTAAGCTAGTCTGAGATAATGTAGTTGAAGAAAGAGACAAAACTGCACTATTAAAAACAACAATAACAACCTTGAGATTAGGGAAACGTGATGTATACAACTATTTAAGAAGTCAGAGAACGTACATGTGGATCTACCTGTCTGCCAGGAGCTGAGCTATTATAGCACAATTTTTATATCATGATGATGATGCTGCCATTCATGCTTAGCTCTTAAGTGTGGTTCACAACATAAAAATACAATATATGACTAGGAAAACCAGGAGGAATAATTAGTCACCAGGGACAGGGAAGAGATAGTGAATGTTTCTAGGACCATGCAAATAATGCTTCACATTTAGCCCATCGAGACTCGGCAAGACTTTGAGGCTTTCAGATATGAACATTAGATTACTCCATTACATATGAAAGCTCAAATCTGAGCAACTTTGGCATTCACATTGGGTAATTAGAAGGATTTCAAAGCTGTTTATTAAAGGTCAAATTCTATCATAAACAGCTTATGTGAGTTTCTAAGAGAAGGGCTTTAGAAATTACCAGAGTTCTGGGAATAAAAATATCCAGTTCTGCCATAGCAGAACTTTTAACTGTTGTTAAAAATACATTTTTACTGGGTCTGTCCTGAAACGTAGACAATAACAATACAGCATTTTGTGTTCCTAATTACATCTTTAGTACATATGGATGGACATCCTATCTTCAATTAGTCCTTATGTGTGCAAGTCTCATTAGATGAATCTAATGTCTGAAGACTAGGAGCAGGACTAGATAACTATAATGCTAAGTATGACTACAAATCCATCTCCTTTACCTTCTGCTATATTTTTATTGGCTACATATGTACATTCCTACACTGGGCATCTTTATTTATAGGTCAGATAATATCAGCTGGCCTCTCATCTTAAAAGAGAAAGAGCAGCCATTTTCTCAGCTGGGAGGAAAGTGTCAGCAGAGTTGCCATGAGGGGCAGACTAATCCTTGTTGCTTCAGAAAGGCAGACTGGGATGGCCACTTACAAAATGCCCCCCAGAGGGCACATATTTGCATAAAATTTGAATATGCTAATGTATATGTATAGGTACAGAATTAGAAATAATGATAATAAATCAAAATACCATTGAGCTCACCATAGTGGGGATTGTGCCATGATCAGGTAAGCACTCTGCCCACTCATCCTGTTGCCTGGTTAATAACTGTTGATAGGCAAATTCAAGGCCGCTGCTCTTCCCTTTTAATTCATTAACATTCTAACACCTATTTCTTTTGGCTGCTTTGAGCACCTAAAGGTTTAATCTCCCCCAGGCCCCCATCTCACAAAGAAGTTTGTCTGACTTCATTAACACTTGTTGATTCAGCTAGGATAACCACACCCAATACACAACCCAGGAAATGTGCCTAACCTACTTAGCTTTACATCAGCTAATTACTGATGCTTAGAATACACACTACATTTCCTTAGATTCTAACCCCAAGATAATCCAACACAGTTTTGGCACAAGCTTAATTAAACATCTCATGCAGGACACTAGTCCTGACTTAATTGGTTTTAATTAAGTGATTAGCAAGGTCTAACACACACTTAAATCTACAGGAGTCTAGCTATCATTTCACACCCGAGACTAGCTTTTGCCACCCCGAACCTTAATTAAATTCCGGCTCTAGCATGATCCAGAATTTAGGCTGCCTTGCACCTCCCAGATTCACAACAGTACATAGTTTAGAACCCCTCCTGTGTCCTGAAGTAGCATTTCCACGTTCCGCCACTGCACATCACAAGCTGCCCACTGGCAGAGTGGGGAAACTCACAGCTTTGTGGCTCCGAAGGCCACCCATTCCTGGACTGAAAACCAAATGAGCATTTCTTAGGGAAAGAGGATCCCACTGCCAGTCCTTGTATGTACTGGGGGTGGCACCCACAGCAGGAGGAGAGGGGGTGAACTAGGATTTCCAGTGTTTGTTTCCTTGTCTCCTGTGCCACCAGAACTCTTGAGGATTGTGCCAGCCAGACAGGTGAGACTCCACAGGCCAAGGGTGCCCTCTAGGTTGCAGAACCAGCTTCTGCCAACCATTGTGGACCATACATAGCTAGATGAATCAGTGTCTTAACTGGGTGTGAGGTTAATTCCTGTGCCTTTATCTTAAGGTGGACAGCTAATCCCCAAATCCAGCAGGGAGGCAGCAGGCTCTATAAAACCCTTTCTTCTAAGCTTGTTTGGTACTTGTCACACCAACAATGTATATTTTGCTTTGCCTTGCCTTTCCTAGTTGTGCCACAACAGAAAAGGCCCTTCTCCATGAATTCACAGTTTTTAATCTACTGGGTTGAAGGATATGAAGCAATTCCTTTGAAGAGGCTGATAGGTGCAAAGCACTATAGCTTGGGTTTTTGCCTACACACAGTAATTGCTTCCCATGAAACATATCAAAATAAACA